GAAGCACCATTTCCCATAGGAATGCATTGAAAACCGGTTAATCCGTTGGAACGGATTATCCGGTTTTTTCCCTCATCCCCGCGGCTTGGATCTGACCCACGGCGGCTCCCTCAGCCATGGCTGGACTCCCTAGAGTCCGGCCATGGCTGGGGTAGCCACCGCGGCTCGGATCCAAGCTGCGGGGGGAGGGTGGTGGGATTGGGATGCCTTTCAGGCATCCCGGGCTTGGATCCCACCAACCGCCGGTTACCTTTTAAGCGGCCGGGACAGGGTGGGGGGTGGATTGGGAAGCTTGAAGCGTCCCCGCTCCGCTTACCCAGGCCATTCTGGGACTTCCAGAAGTCTGAGAACGGCCTGGGTAAGCGGCGCGGGGAGGCTTCAAGCTTCCCGATCCACCCCCACCCTGTCTCCGATGCCGGTAGCCTCCCCGCGCCGCCTACCCCGGCCGTTCTCGGCATCACAGTGTATGCATCACAGTGAGGCATCTCAAAAAAGACCAGTCTCCAGTATTCTTGTAGACTGGTTATCCTTTAAAATGATATTTAAACACTGATAACACGTGTGCGTGCACTCATGTGCATATGTGTTGATAAACATGGGGACACACAGAACACAAACGTTAGCATAAATTAAAATTATCATAAAGAAGTTGGCAGCAGCTTTGGATAAAGCATGTATATATCCAGCAGGACTAGGCATGCTAGAAAGTCAATGATTTCACACAAACCTTTCAGGTTGTATGTGCAAGAGGCAGCAAACCACAACACAACCATGGTGGTGAAAATATACCAACAGCTTTAGGTCATTGTTCGTTCAAGAACTGAAACAGTGTTAAATGTGCTCACAGGTTCTATCAAACTGTAGAGCTTTCCACGATGCACAAAAATGTGTTGTACATTTGCCACTGTACTAGCTGATTCCTCTTGAAAATATATACAGTCAACCCTTGACTTATGAACGGCCCTAGTTATGAACATTTCGACTTACAAACCACTCGGATAGGAAAATATGGACTCGTTAACTTGGATTCAAGTTACAAACGGGAAAAAAAGTGTGGGGAAGGCAGGGAAATTTGAACTTTCAGTTAGCGAAGAGGCTGCTTGTCTGTTTCCTTGCTCATCCAAGCGGTTAGAGAGTGGGAAGAGAGACCAGGGACTGCCTGGGACTGCTTGGTATTGTCATTTTTAAATGTAAAATTTAGTTTAAAAGGTGCTTTGTTTGGGTTAAACAGTGCTTGGGTAAAAGCGAGCTCGGTTTGAGTTAAAACCTGCTTGGGGAAAAACGTGCTTGGTTGCTTTAAAAGCTGCATGTTTTGATTTAAAAGGTGCTTGGTTGAAAAGTTGCCTGTTTTGGTGTAAAAGGTGCTTGATTTTAAAAGTGTTCTTTCAAACAGTGTTTGTTCGTTCCCTCCGTGGTTTCCTGCCTTTTTAAAAAAACTATGCCATCTTAGGTTAAAAAGAAAAAAATCTGCTCCTAGTGGTAGGAATGGATTAACCAACCGGCTTTGCATTAGTTCCTATGGGAACTAAGCTTCGACTTACAAACCGCCCCTCGACCTAAGAACCAAAAACAGCCGGAATGGATTAATGGGTTTTCAATGCATTCCTATGGGAAATGCAGATTTGAGTTACAAACTTTTCGACTAATGGATGTCCTTCCGGAACGGATTAAGTTGGTAAATCGAGGGTTGACTGTATAAAAACCATAAATTATTTAGAACAAAGTGATAAGAAATGTTAATATAATAAAAATATGCTTCTTACCTGACACAGACAGAAAAAACCCAATAACAGCAATTAAATATCCAATTGCTTTCACAACTAGCAGAAGAATTGCAAAGAGAGGCTGCTTCTCAAAAACTGTGGAAACAAGCACATGTTGTTGAAAAAAAAAGAATGGCAAAACCCAACAGACACATAAATGGAACACAAAACAAATAAGCATCTTCTGAAATACAATTTAAACTACCAAAAATGCATGCCCTACATGGAATACACAGCAAGCAAAAATAAGCAGAATTGCTGAACAAAAGTACTCCCACTGCTGGGCCTTCTAATTTATTGTACTTTACTGCACCACAAAAGGTACAATACTTCAAATAGACAGGATATACTACAAACATACAGCCACATCTCAGGTTATTTTTCAGCACCATGTCAGCACCCTGGTTTATGTCTAAACTAAAGGGAGTCTTCCCTTTATATGAGCATCTTTAACTGATAGTTTTCTATTTCTGAATCTCTTGACAGAGCAGAGGAATCACCTCACTCTTGTATTTGAGAGATGACAGTTACCTCTCAACTTCCAGTAAAAATTCAATGAATTACAAAAATAAAATCTCTCCAGAATTCCCCATTCAACATCATAATCCAGAGATATGCTGCACATTAATAAGAATGAGATTTTCCCTGTGTTCTCCCACATGATCTCTGAGATTTACCTGAGAGTAACAATACACAAACCTCCCACATTCCTGCCAAACTAATGCTTTCCTCTCCTTCTGCCTCTTTCCTTCTTCAAACCACATCATAGCAAATACAGAGAATAATTTCAGCAGCTATCAGAATCAACAGATTCTCACCTGAGGTGAACAGAAAGTAGAGGAGGGGCACTAATACAACAGCAGGCACTACAATTAAGCCAAGCCCAGCTTGATTTGAAGATTCATATCCAGCTGTTGGAGATCAATTAAAACAGAACAGAAGCATAAACCAAGAGACAATCTGATTAATGTTTTAAATATTATTTTAAATTATTCCCATGCTCTATCCTTACTTAAATTTTAGTTTCAGAATATGATCAGCCCCCCTTAACAAGACTTCTTTCAATTTATGAGGCTGGTATTTTAGCAAACAAATGCTACACATTTGAACCCAAAAACAGTCACATAGATAGTTAAGATTTATTTTTAAGATATAAGGAACGGCCAAGGTAGAGAACATTTAAATGGGATGAACACAAAGTCTAACCCTTAAGGTATGTGTGTTCATTATATCTTAAAAGAAGCAGACAACTATGAAGAGACCTACTTAAATGCCTCCTTGAGGAAAATCAACACAAGAAAAATGATTTTCTCTCTCTCTCTCTTAAATGTTTACATAAGAGAACCTCATGCCTTGCACATTCATTTCATGTACTAACAGGACACAAGAGTATCCATTACTGCACAACTGCACAGTGGGGGCAGGGGAAAAAGACTGGACATGCCAACCCTTTATATGAGGCCACAGTTTACCTGAATGGGGGAGGTACCATCATGGAAATCTCTGTGATGGTTGGGAGGGTCCAAGACAAAATAGCAAAGAGTATTCTCTCCAGTGTCAAAGTGACCATCTTTCTTTCTTTCTTTCTTTCTTTCTTTCTTTCTTTCTTTCTTTCTTTCTTTCTTTCTTTCTTTCTGTTATATACCACTTCACAGTCCTTGGAGTACTCTCTGGGTGGTTTTCTACATAATTAGGGAAACCAACTTGCTTTCCCAGGAACAGAAAAGCTGCAAAGAAAAAAATCGCCCCCTTTGCTCCTTTCTGCTGCTCCCACATCCAGGAGGAAGACTTCAGTTTTAAAATTTTTAGCTAAAAAAGGACAGTGCAATGTTGCTGCCTCCCTTTGCTCCACAAAGAGAAAGGAAGTTTTTTATTTCTCAATTACTCCATATCATTAGGTGGTTAAACTGTATGTTTAAACCATTAATGATATTGGGAAATTGAAACCAGTCAAGAAAATGAAGCAAGAAGCTTCAGTTTGCTGGTTTGCTTTGGACTGCTTTTGGTGATCACATCCGCTGGGGGGGAAAAAACCATAGGGATCCTACCTGGACCAAAGAAGTGGAAGTCCCTGACAGGGGCCAGAATGGTGTTAGCAGGAATACTCTGGGGGCAGTCTGGTTCACTCCAGCAAATAAATCATCTGATCACTGGCTTTACAAACAAACCAGTTCATTCACACAGCAGACCAAAAAGTGGGCTAAATGCCTGTGTAGTTACCCTATCAGTCCCCTGTAACTGAATAGATCTCACATCATTATTCCTGGATATGAGATTTAGAAACTGTGTTGTCAATGTGAAAAAAAATACTAGCCACTAGACTGATAATCATATAGAAAATGTGCTCTTGTTTCAAGACCTTTACCTGCTCTTAAGTCACTTTACCTGGAACAAAAAGAATAACGCCAATCACAGCAAAAGCGGAGACTATTACTCCCATAAGAATTAATTCACTCTTCTTTTGAAGTGTCATGTCAAACTTTACAGCTTTAAGAGGAAAAAAAAATAAGAGAGACAATTAGGAATTTAATACCTACAACAATAAGCAACTTTGTTTTTGTAAGGTATTTTGAAAATTACTTATCATAAATGGGAGCAAATGAAAATGCTTATGCTGCTCCATTACAATTCTTATACATATTATTACAGAAGAATTACATAGTCTAAAACAGATGTGGACCACATGTGCATTCACAGGCATTTTGTGCACACATCCATGACCCTGGAGTCCCACAGACACCCACTCCCCCTCAGTGTAATTTTTTTTTAATATATTTTTGCTCAGAAAGTCCTTTGTACTTTATAGGGACATAGGGACATTTCCCTCAAGTTTTGAGACCTTTCAGCATCCTAGGGAACCCCTACCTTCTAACTTCGGAATGGTTTTGTTTTACCTGCTACCGGGCACAAGAGCGCTTAGCAACATTAACAAACTAACAAGTTAGCTTCCTTAGCCACTCTCAATCCCTTAAAACAGTGGTCCCCAACCTTGGGCCTCCAGATGTTCTTGGACTTCAACTCCCAGAAATCCTGGCCAGCAGAGGTGGTGGTGAAGGCTTCTGGGAGTTGTAGTCCAAGAACATCTGGAGGCCCAAGGTTGGGGATCACTGCCTTAAAAGTTCAACCTTTGGGCTGATGTAAAAAAACCCGAAACATGTCTCTCAGCCCTTCTGAGATCAACCGATCTGGATCTAAAACATCTACATATTCACAGAAGACCCGTAGCAGGTAGGCTTCAAAACGGGCAATGCTGCCACAATGCTACATGGTGGGTTGATTAAGCCAGCATATTACACTTATATCCATAGAGCTCAAGAAGACATATATGACTCTACCCCTCCACTCTTCATCCTTACAACAATCCTGCCAAGTAGGTCAGTCTGAAGACATCATCCAAGCAAGAATCTGAAACAGGTGTCCTGAATCCTTGTTCAACACTCATAAAATATTTGTTCTCTTATCAGCATGCAGTCTTATTTAAGATATTACATTCCAAACTGTCTTCTTCCATCAGCCATGTAATGCTAGCCTTCACCAGCACAGTCCACAGCTCTACAACTGCAAGTCATAGCACCTCTTCTGAAGTTATTTCAAATTGTAAGTACTCATTTTATCAGTTGTCAGCTTCATGCAGAGACAGATCAAATACTAAATTCTTCCTTTCACTCCAGTTGAACATGCTAGTCTTTTAAAAATGTCATGAAATTAGTGATGCTACTGAAGCAGTTCATTTCAAAGACAGACAGTTCATAGGTTCCCACAGTACTCTGGGACTCTTCCAAAGAGAAGACACTGGAAAAACTATATGACACTATTGCCAACTGTGCTCTCTTCTGCCCTAGGCACTGTTCACAAACTGACAGGTACATTTCTATTCTAGAATCTTCACTGTAGACATGATGTGTGTGTGTGGGGGGGGAAGAAACATCATGATTTTTGGTGTGAAGAAAGAAACAAAGTCTGTAAGTACCATTCTAAAGTGCAGCATTTGAAAGCTGATGCGTCTATGCTAATTTTTTCTTAGCATAAATATGTTTTCTAATATATGAATACAGTAGCTTGCAAACCTCCCAGGTGCCCACCTTCATGTGGTGAGGGGTATAAGTGTGACAGGGAAGTTGACTGCAGTACTGTCAGGAGGCTAGGCTCTCTTAGAAGTCTGGAGTCTTAGCAGAGTCACCCAAGGCCTCATTAGAGCCGAGACCAGACTAAGATGCACCTATTCTCTCCATGAATTAATGGTTGCAACCACAGAAGAGAACAGACATTTCCAGTGGGGATGGGAATGGAGAAATTCTTGAACAGCAATTGTTGCCAGCAGCTATAGTGGAAGGTGACACGCCAGGGGCACATACGCTAACACTTGTTAGTACTACAAGGGTATACCAATTCTGAACATTTATGCCTTGAAAACCCAATGATGAGATAATGAAAAACAAAACAAAAGAAGACAGTGTTGGAAGATGAGACGTGCAAGTCAGAAGGCAGAGAAAACAAAGGATAAATACATACAGCATTGTCACTATTGCAGCAAATGTATTAAATGTGATGACAGAAAGAACATCGTGGCTAATGGACAAAGAAGCAAAAGGAAAGTTTGACAGTGCACAATACATATAATTAGAATACGATATGTGAGAATATGTGTCAAGATAATCTTGAAATTGTAATAGGAAAAACTGAACACTCAAATATGGTAATATTCATTGTAGAAGAATTTAAAGTGGACAGGAATGGAACACTGTAAAATTGATAAACACAAAAACTAGAATCCTGTTATTATCATCCAGTATAATTTGAAAGGCATACAAGTGGTGTGAATGATTTTGCCAGCTGTTGTGTTATGCACTTGGGCAACCCCAAGATGCACAAGTGGTTGTGTGCTCATATACATACCAGCCAGCCAGTAAAATTCAAAAATTGCTTGCATGATTGTTCTTATGTGTATGGTATTTTGCTAGAGGATTTCGGCTAAAGTATTTTACTCTGAAAATGACAAACTGAGAAGAAACCCTGGGCCCTAACAGTTAGATGAGACATAACACAAGGAGTGAGAGCCCATAATATATATAAAAAAATTACACTCAAGCTGAAGAATAACATTTTTGAGGAATTTGAAAACTAAATAACAGTGATCATTACTAAACTCAACTGCTAATCATAAGATATGTAGATTAAAACTAGAAACATTACCAGAGAGAATGCAAGTAGACCATTCCTGTAGCCAAAAGAAAAGCCTTGATTAATTATGATGAATGGCGGAGGAAACTGAAAATAGTTAATTGCAGATGAAAAGCAATAGTAAAAGCTGACTTTTGGTAACTTGGTTGCACACAGGGACCAACAGAACTACAATCAATGCAAAGAAATAAAAAGGAACAATAGAAAGGAGAAATGAATATTTTCCAGACATTCCATGAAATCAAAGAATTTAAACCTAGATCAGAAACACTATCTACGGCTGAATACATTATCTGGAGAAAACAAATCCAGCTAATTTTATTATCTGGCGAAAATAAAGAGCAGATGGGGAAAAATTACCAAAGAACTATACAGAGGAGATGCCAGTATGACAGATACTTTCCTATAAGAATCCTTTGATTAAAAAAATTGACAATTTTAGGAGGTAAAGTGAAAGCATCTTCAAGACAAAAGTAGATGACATGCCAAGAAGTGATCAGATTGCCAAGATGGAATTTACTGAAATGTCACCAACAAGACTCCATCACCAAATATGAAAAACAAAACAATGGCTGACCGACAGGAACTATTTAGTACTTTCAGTATACAGTCCAGTCCCAAAGAAAGGATGTCAAAGATCACTATAACTATATGGTCGCTGTATTAATTTCCCATGCCAGCAAAGTGATGCTCCAGACTTTGCAAGGAAGGTTTTTAACATGTATGGAGTAAGAAATGTAAGGCATTCAAGCCAGATTCAGAAAAGGAAGAGGAAGCAATGTATATGGAGCACAACAAACTACAGGCCTAGTAGCTTTAGTTTGCAAGACTTGAGTAGAGCTGCTAATGACCTTTTGGGGGTCATTAAATCATAACGGTTGTCATAAGCTATATGTGACCTGATGGCACATTATAACAACAACAGCTGGCTTTCAGTTCACTTTTGCAGAGCAGCAATAAATTGGACATGCTCAGCTTTGTTACCATGCTGTTCACTTGATCATTGTGCCATGAAATAATGCCTACAGCTATTGTATAAGCATCCCCAAGAAACACTGCATCATACAGATATGTTTTCTAGCAAGCAGTCCTGTTTTTAGTTTAAAGGATATATTCTATACACAGTGATTCTACAGTTATTAGCAGGGCTCTAAAGGAAGTCACAGCCTTGAGTTTGCAAGAGCAGGGCTGCTGACAATAGGATAACAGGAGTTTTCAATTTATACAGTTGGAAGCAATTTGGCAACTTGTAACAAGGACAAAGATGTGTGCCTTACACTGCAAGCACCATCAGTTCACATTGGCTGGTGCAACAGACTCCAGCTTAAGAAACAGAACTCAAATCACAGCATAAGATAAATAATGTTTTACATCCCCATTTATAACATCTAAGTGCCCAGGACTTCTGGAATCTTCAGAAGCACACTGGGAGAAAAAAAAAAGTCTTATCTACCAAATTAATGATCACCAGAATGTGAATGGAAACGTGACAGGATAAAACATGAGAAGCATATTACAACTTACAATAATTCCAGGAAAGTGTCTTCCATCTTCTAAGGCTGAGCTACGTCTGGTCACTCATTTAGTTATTATATAAGTTTACAGAAAAATTCTCAGTTTACAATAGGGGTGGGTAGAAGCTCCCTGACCTACTTTATAGCTGAGGTAAAGGCCTTATGAGGTATACAACCCCCTGCCCTGCCCTCTATCCTTTGGAAGCCCCGATGACCCACTCTGCCCCAAAGTCTGTGACATTATCCCTGTTTCCAGACTTCTGCTAAAAAAAGGACGGCCGGTGGAGGGGGGCACAAACAACTGTTACTCAGGGTCTAGGCAGCAGTCAAATTATGGCATGCATCAATTCAAAGCCCACACACGCAATCTTAATGGTGTAATAATGCCTCAATAAAGTTTACTGAAGTGAATGAAAGAACAAAAATACAGTGGTGGCTCGCTTGATGACGATAATTCGTTCCAGCAAAATCGCTGTACAACAAAATCATCATCGAGCGAAAGTAAAAAAAACCATTAGAATGCATTAAAAACTGGTTAATGCATTCTAATGGGTGAAATACCTCATCATCCAGTGAAGATCCTGCATACGGCGGCCATTTTCCAGTGCCTGTTAAGCGAGGAATCCGTCCTAAACACAGTGTTTTGCACAGCGGGTGGCCATTTTGAAATCCGGCAATCAGATGCTCTTAGCTCGTCGTAATGCGAAGAATCTGTTCCTGAAGCAGGGAACCGATCGTCGTGAAGCGAAAATCGCCCTTTGAAACATTGTTTTGCGATCACAAAAGCCCCAT